ATAGAATAAACAATATAATAAACCCCACTATACCCACCTCCTCTTCAATAATCTGATTGTTTTATTTTACTTATTCTCTACCTTATGGACTCTAAATTTTGCTTTTTTTGCTGGACTATTTTAAGACATGTCTGCATGCCTGAGGTTAGCATAGCATAACATCACTAATAACTACTTAAAATATGTATATATGAATATATCTACAAAGACATATAAATAGTATTACATAACAGAGTGTATATATACATCCCAGAACCCTTTTTTTTTCCTTTGTGAGACAAGGCTAAGTCACTGAGTTACCCAAGGTGGGCTTGAACTGAGATCCTCTTGCCTCTGTCTGTCAGAGTGCTTGGTTTACAGGCGTGCACCACCTTACCCAACTTCTAGGGTTTAGCCTTGAAGTAGCAAAAAGGAAGTAGGTAGAAGATCATGGGAGAGGAGGAAATATCCTGGAGAAGGAAAAATCTTTAATGCGTTCCTTCACCTCCACTAGTTCTAAAATTGCTTTCTTTGACAGAAAACAATGAAATGGCAGAAGTTGTAAAGCAGAAATGGGAAAAATGAGGGGAAAGAAAAAATATTTGTTGTTGTTTATCATTTTCTACCCTATGCCAGCCACTCCCAGTCCCCTTAAATAGAACCTGCTTTCAGGTTAGAAGCTTTTGAAGCATTATTTAGTTGATTAATAATGCTTTATGTCTAGACATATTATAGGTTTAGTATTACTTATTTACTCTTGGTATATGTTACTATAGAAACAACTATAATGTGAAAATGCAGTATGTACTTTATTTCCATCTTCATTAGAAAAACACTATAAAATTAAGTTTTATCTCTATAGTTAAATTTAAGTTTAGTAATATGTATTTTTTTTCTTTCTAGGATTATTTTTATCCAAAATACCTAGGTAAGTTCAAAATATGTCAATCATGAAATCTTAAAAATGGAAGGGAACTTCCTCACTTTCCAGGTTGACTCTGACTCTCTACCCATATATTCAATCCAATATAATTTAACTACCCTTAGGAGGTAGTTTTTTTCTGTCTTTTTTATTTAAAGACATATAAACACATTTGAAATGGTTCTCTAATTACCATGTGGACATTTTGACTTTCAGTCTTTTTCGTTCTTTGGTCCTTCTCATAAAGAGTCTTTGGGCTAAAGCTCAGTTATGGTTAGGTACCCAGGCATTCTCTGAAACTACTTTTCAATGAAAAGAAAGATCTTTAAGCTCTTCAGAGATTATGGCATAAACAGTTATTATTTAGACATTTAAAGAAACTATTAATGGCTTCTCTCTTTGTGACACCATTTTATCACACCTTGCAGTATCCCATTGTTTTCTGGTTTGGGGTATGATTTGGGACTCCCAAGGAATGAGATCATTTTTTTCTCACACACATGAATTAGATGATTTCAGTTAAATACCAACTAAAGGTAGCAAGGCTCCAGTTTCCTTACAGCAAATACATAAATATTTTACATTAATAGTAGTTGGGACAGGTATCAGTATTTGCAGACAATCAAAATGGAATATAATTTGTGTACTTCTTTCTAATAGGATTCTCCATGGATCTAGAACCCAGTGGGGTGGTCTCCCTTCTCCTTTAGTTTCAGAATGTTCCTCATCTATGCATCTTTTCATCTCATTCTCACCTTCCTAGCATGAATAAAAAGTAAATCTTAAAAATATATAGAAATAAACTCATATATACATTAATAACATGCAGTTTAAAATTATTACTAGAATTTTATAAATAATAATATCTATTAAACTCACTTCTCTTGAAATTTGAGAATTTAATTATAATTTAAGGCTTTAAAAAGTTTTGTTTATGTTTTGTCCTCTCCTGAGTACCAGTGCAGCAGTTTCAGGGACCATACTGAGATGGGAAACTATTTATACCTTTCCCTTTTCCTAGGAAACCTTAACACTAAAATGATGTTAAGAACTTGTATCTATCCTCTAGGACAATTAACAGGCTAACAGCCAAAGATCATTGGGTAGAAGACTCATTTTTAGAACCAGTCACTGATTTCACAGCTCCTGAGATGATTTCCACTTTTTAAGTGTACATGACAGTAATCATCTTGTGTTCAAGGCACATCCTGAGCTCTTGAGCTAGGGAAACTCAACAATAATGTTCACCCTGTTACCAACTGTGGGACATCATTTCAGTGGTATCTCTTTAGGACATTGCAAGATCTTAAACTACCTTCTCTGAGCTATAGTTTCCTCATTTTTCAAATGAATAGAAATAATTTGCTTAATAAATTTTCAGCAAGAAGTAAAATGAGATAATACTGTCAGAGCGCTTCAATGAATATTTTCTTTTTTATTGTTGTTGTTTTTCTGTTCCTTTTTTCTTTACTTTGTTGCTTTTCCCTTCTCCTCCCTTCTCTACCTACTAATATCAAATTTTGATAGTATCCTACAAAATTGGAAAGGGGCCACTATAATATTAATTGTGAGATGATGTCATTTGTATCTATTGATATGAAAATGCAACAAGATATTCTAAAACCTGCTGTTGCTATATCTTTAAAGGGTGATGGGATAATAGTTACATATCTATGAAAAAAAATTTTAAATTACATGTGACTCCTCACTTTCTAAAACAAAAACTAAGAATTTCTATTGTTGAAGTGGAGGAAAGACTATTTCAGCATCTCAATTTTAGATTGAAATTTAATTTTTTATAGAACAGTATTTGACTATTAAAATTGTATGTTTTGACTGAAAATATTGATTAATCCTTACTTGTTAGGGCCATGTAACGGGGTGTGTCTCTCCAGGAGGAATACCCTAGAAGATACTGTCTTTTGATCTTTGATCTCAGAGTACAGTGGAATAAACACAAATAACATTTTACTACAGTATTGTGTTTGGGAGAGGTTCCTTAGATATTTTTCTTTTCTTCCTTTGTCCCTCTCAACTTTCTCTTTTCAGACCCCACTTATATTTTTCTTCTCTTTT